TTTTTTTTTTGAAAGACCTTAATCTTAATTGGAAAGGTAGAGCTTTACTAAATGTATTGCTTATGAGTTCTTATGAATATACCAGAGTGTAACTTTTCCAAATGTTTTGGCAAATCTTTGCCATAGTTTGTAACAAGTGTGTGTGTGTTCTGTCAGCGTACTAGGTTCATGGTGATGATATCCTCATATGCCAGTGAAGATTCACCTGCGATCATGCCAGAACCTCTCAAGTTCTCCACACCCAACCCCTCCTCTTTACCAATGATATCAGTGATCTTATACCTGCAAAGACATGAATGTTCCATTAGAGGAGAATTTACATTACAGTAGAACAACAAAAAAAATGACCCTAATCAATGACAGCAAAAAATTCCTGATGATCTTTTGAATAAAAAAGTTAAATGTAAATCTCCAGAACTCAAATCTCCCAGTCCAACCACTTACTGAAACTAAGCTGCAAAACCCCCTTGTTCTTATACCAGATATAAAAGCATTAACAATCCCTATTAATGATGAGGAAGTTGGACAGAAACCTATTTACAAACACCAGAAGAATTTAATATTTTTACAATTTGTTTAGAACTACTGATCCTTTCAGTAGTTATCCTTTCAAGATAATGAGAGACAGGGTGGTAACTGGTCATGTAAAACTACTTTTGGTGAAGAAAACCAATTTTTTCACAATTAGTGAAAAAGGGAAAATAAAATAATAAGAACAAAATTTATCAATGACCCCCTACCAGCTTACTAATTTTTGAGCTAAAAATCTGAGTGTGGGATAATACGCAAGTCACCTGGATTGACCCTCATCTTCCACATGTTCACAGTAGACTGAGTTCAGAGCAGACACCTTCTTATAGTCCTGAGGTGTGAGGTACAGGTACTTAAAGCCCTACCAATCAGCAGGAAAACACAGTGATTACGACACTCATCTTGAAGATAACACTACATCAATGATCACCGATCTCTTCCCCTGGAGCCACTGCAAACCTTGTATGGGTCTGTTGGATCCTGCCAGGCCACGTGGAACATGTGTCTGATCTCCTCAGCCAGGCCAATCCGGGCCCCGCTGTTGGCAGCGATATAGATTCGTGGAATGCCGCTTTCCCGCGCCATCT